TGAGCTTCAAACCCGTTTCTGTATCTCTCTCTCTCAGCTGGTTCTGGAGGCCTGTGACCCAGGGCGGGGGTTCCTGACAGTAGCAATCCGCCCTCATGGGATCTTCGGACCCCGGGACCCCCAGTTGGTCCCGATTCTGGTGGACTCGGCTCGGAGGGGGAAGATGAAGTTCATTATTGGGTGAGTGCCCCCCAGGTCCAGGTGGAGTGACCAGTGTAGCCAGCTGCCTTATCACCCTGCAGCCCACTGAAGCTCAGCAGGTGTGAGCCTGGTCAGTGCCTGGATGGGAGACTCGTGGGAGAAACTAAGGTTGCTTCTGGAAGAGGTTTGAGTGGGGCCAGCAGGGGGTGCTCTCTCTGTGGTCTGTGTGGGTCCTAATGCCCCATTATAATGACGGGAACGCTATACTGTAAAAAAAGACGTAAAACCGAGGTCCTGACTCTCTGTGGTCATTAAAAATACCAGGGTGTTTCTCAAAAAGAGTAGGGCTGTTACCCCTGAGTCCTGGCCAAATTTCCCCCTGGCCTTTACCGATCATGGCCTCCTAATAATCCCCATCTCTGAACTGGCTTTATCACTGCTCTCCTCCCCACTGAGAGCTAGTGTGTGGGGAGTGTACTGGTGCACTCTGGCTGCTGTTGCATCATCCAGGAGGAGCTGCACATTGGGGTGGTGGAGGGGATCCCCATTACCTGTAAAGCACTTTGAGTGGAGTGTCCAGAAAAGCATTATATAAGTGTGAGCAATTATTATTATTATAAGGAAGTGAGGAGATAGGGAATGTTTTTGCGGAGTGAAGCAGATCAGGACACGTGCCATTTGGAAGGGGGGAATTGCTTCATCATGGCCTGTTGGGCTGTAAAGCTACTGCCAGTAGAAAAGGTCTGAGCTACTATCCTGGCTGTGCTGCAAAGTGCTGGCAAAAGACACCAGCCTGCAGAATCCAGGAGGCCACTGCCTAGAGTCCGTCTCCCACAGAGGGCCAAGTATGACCTGTGTGCCACTAAAAAAAATTAATCTCGACTACCATTCAAGTTACACGCTCCGAAAAACTGTCCTTTGTGTGAATGCCGTTTTATTTTTGAGTTTCACCACACAATTTTGGTTCATTGCACTCATGAGTCATTGTTTGTAGCTGAATCATTATTCTATGAATGTACAGTACCTCAATCATCAGCCTTGAAAAATGTACAAAATTGATAGTTTTACATTGAATATGATAACATTAGCGTATTCACCATGGGAACAAGTAATAGGTTCATTCCATGCTGAGAAAAGTAGGGACAAAACTTAATGTTTTGGCTATGAAGCCTTCTTCAGGTGTCTTTACCATGGGTACATTCAACAGAGTTGCAGAGAGACCTGTTGGGATTTCTAAGTCATGCTGCCTAGAAACTTTGTTTCAGCACAAGGTTTGAGTAATGTGTATATCAAGGGAAGCATTCCTCAAATGTGTTTTCCAGGCTGTTGAGAGTTAAGTTTCAGGCAGATGCATGTTGTTTATAAACGCTGGACAGCGTGTGTCTTTGCTTGCTGTCGCTACAGACCAGGGCTGCCCAAGTCCAGTTCTCAACGGTCCTCCTGCCCAGCAGGTTTCTTGCTGCTCTTTAAATCTGCAGCTTCTAAAAACCAAGGAAGCCTGGTCACGTTGGTAATGAAGAGCCTGGTGGACAGGAAACCAGGAACCCCGTGGCTCTCCAGCAGGAACTGGAGTTGTGCGTCCTGGAATGGGTGAA